CCCCCCCCCCCCCATCTGTATCTTCTAGAACATGTTTGCTCCGCCCAGGCTTCCTCAACAAGTTGCTTCTTTTGCCAAGAAGCCTTGATTCTCACTCAGGGACGTCATCGCACTCGAGGTTCTGGTTGTACGCGAGAACAGGGGTGGAAGGAAAGGGGAAGCGGTGATGCGAAGTTGTGATGCAGCAAAACCATAAACGAAGCATCCGGCATTCAGCAAACAAGAAAAATACCGCGTTGCAGGTGATAAGCTCAAGGGTTCGACAAGCACGAGGGAAATTTGGGCATCGCCTCCGAATCTGACAATAGACAACAGACAACCAGAACGCCTACATACGGCTTCTCTCTTCATGCCGCTAAGCTACGCATATTTCGAACAAGCCTTGCTCGACCAAGAGACTAAAAACAAAGCGCACGCGACTACTGCGAACAAAAAACACAGCGACAACACAGACAAATAACGGGAGAAAAAAAAGTAATAGAAGTAGATTCTCACCTTGCGGGATGGTTTCTTCAACGTCAAGCCTCCACCTCGTTGTCCGATAGCCCTTCGCCTCCGGCCTGCAGGATATCAAACGTTACACGATAGCGGCAACAACAAAACAACGGATACAAGTCAGCACGCATAAACCAACATCACGATGGGTTTCGCACGAGTGGGAGCTTTGCAACAGGTGGTCGGGGCGACGTGAAATACACCACTTTCCCGATGCATGTGTGAATGTTACAAGGTCTACCTTCCACAAGCTTTTGTGAACACATGACTTGCACGACGAAAACGCACCGGAAGCCATGATGCATGCGCATGCTTGGTGAGGGCAAGCCTCAGTGTGATATCGTACCCGTTCGTGTTGCGCAATCGAGCCAACCATCTGCTGCACAACCCACATACCTGAAAACAACGTACAAAAACAAAGGATATACAAGTACATTAATCTCTAGAGTGGGGGGCTCTCAATAACGCCGGTTGAATAACGCAGGGGGCTCTCTACAGCGCCTGTGAAATTGCTGGGCACAGCCAGAGCCCTCAATAGCGCCACACCGGAGTTGTTGAGGGCGGCCCGCAATAACGCCGGTTTGGGCACCTCTACACCCCGCAAAAGCGCCGGTTGTTTGTTTTGACGTACATACAAACCACACACCACGCACCTGCTCTAGGGAGGTTACACACCAGTTGGGGTACACACGTGCATCTACAGACCCTACAGCTCTGCGTCAAGGCGCACTATGCCATGTGCGAGAGGTGAATTGTGCAAGTCGCCCGACACTTCGTCAGAACCCCCTCGTGGGCAACGCTGTCAGGGAGGATGTGACGGGCGGCTCCACGGCAATTGCGGAAGCATCGCAGATGACAACGAAATGCACCGCATCTGCGATCCGTGTCTAGCCAAAGCTGGCAAGCGCAAAGCGACAGCGCCACCGGAGGGTGCTGGGGCTCGAAAACCCAAGTCCAAGAGGACGAAAAAGAAAACGCGGGGGTGTAGTCAGCCGTTATTTTTGTTGTTACGTTTATGGCGTTTGATCCGCCTCGTCTCTACCGGCATAGCTGGTTTTGTGTCTGATGATCTGCATGTGGCCCTTCATTCGCGGTCGTTCCTCGTTCTTTCTCGCTACTTGGATGAAGGGCGAAAGAATGCTGTTGCACGTCTCTCGTCCACATCTGTTTTTCTTTGCTGTTGTTCGATTCTTTGCAACTATGTAACTTTTTCCATTCAATGATGCATAGGTCGCCCCAGTGGTCTAGTAGGAACCTCGCAGCCTGCTAAGGGCCAGGCCATGAGTTCGAGTCCCGGCAGAGTGAGTTTTTTTTCTCACTAAATAAATCCTGGTCTAGGATGAAAGCGACACGTTTCAAAGCTCGTTGTTAGTGTCGCGAGGGAAGGGATTGCTGTACCCTTCTCGCGATAAAAATACCTCAGGCATGAACCGCAGGAGGGGGTCCAGCCCCCCCCTCCTTTGTGACCCCGGTTGGGTCGTCTAGCTAATAGAAGGGGAGGATAGGGGCCAGGGGGGCAGACGACAGAATCCCATGATGAAAAAAAAAAAAGGGTGCAGTTGTGTCGTTATTTCGCTGTCGCGAAGGCCTATCCGTACAGCAACTTCCGGCTGCACAGCGCCAATTTGTGAGGCAGGAGGATCATGCTGCCGCATCTATCCATGATCATTTAATAAACATAACTCTGGGCAGTCCAGGAAGATGAATTATCCTTTGCAGAACGCCCACTTCACCACTCAATCGTTTCTTATTCAATTTATGGTCATGTGGGCTCGTCGATGCGCCACATGACCACAACCCCTCAATAGCGCCACAACCGGCGCTATTGAGGGTTAGAGACCCCTCAATAGCGCCGGTTGGGGCGCTATTGAGGCACTATTCTAATAACGCCGGTCGCTCTGAATAGGGCCGGTCGATGCGCTGGGCACATACCGGCGTTATTCAGGGCCCCCCGCTGCATACACTGCGGTGCAAAGTTACCTTGATGATGGTCCAGTAGATGACGGCCTTGGCCCGGTCCGAGTGGTTCTCGAGGCGGTAGACGTTGTTGACGGGGACGTAGAAGTGATCCCCCGGAGAGAGCAGGAACCTCTGGGCCGTCTTGGCGTCGAAGGTGGTTCTCTTCGTCTGATCAAGTACCATACAAGGCATGAGGTTAAGTTATGGGTGCGAAAACGAGGTGGTGCTACTATCCATTGTAGGAGCCAAGGGGGAAGAGCGAGTGGCTGGCTGCTGTCGAGATCTCGGGTTTCGTTCTCTGTCTCTTACCATACCTTTTTTCTCTCGTCTCTCGCCATCTCAACACGATCGACATGTTGTACAAAAG